ATGGGCAAATCTTTTGGCCTGAGGGCCACATCTGGGTATGGAAATTGTATGGTGGGCCATGAATGCTCACAAAATTGGGGCTGGGGTACAGGAGGGGGTGAGGGCTCTTGCTGGGGATGCGGGCTCTGGGGTGGGGCTAGGGATGAGGGGTTTGGGGTGCAGGAGGGTGCTCCGGACTGGGACTGAGGGTTTCAGAGGGTGGGAGGGGGATCAGGGCTGGGGCAGGGGTTTGGGGTACAGGAGGGGGTCAAGGGTGTAGGCTCCGAGCAGTGCTTACCTCAAGCAGCTCCCGGAAGCAGCAGCATGTCCCTCCCCTGGCTCCTATGCAGAGGCACAGCCAGGTGGCTCTGCATGCTGTCCTGTCCACAGGCACCGCCCCTGCAGCTCCCATTGGCCACAGTTCCTGATCAATAGAAGCTGCAGGGGTGGCGCCTGCGGGAGGGGCAGTGCGCGGAGCCCCTGGGCTGCCCCTAAACCTAGGAGCCGGAGGGGGGGGCATGCCACTGCTTCTGGGAGCCACAGCACACGCATGCGGAGCAGCCCCAAACCCCGCTGCCTGGTTGGAGCATGGGAGTGGGGCAAGTCCCAGACCCTGCTCCCCAGTGGGAGCTTGAGGGCCGGATTAAATCAGCTGGTGGGCTGGATGTGGCCTGCGGTCTGTAGTTTGCCCAACCCTTCTTTAGGCTCTCAGAACTTGTGTCAAAGGAGAAACTGATAGCAGTAGTAGGTTGCCATTCTCCATATGGACCAGCACTAGAAAGGATGAGGCATACACATGGACAGCAAAGGAATAGAAAGACTCAGGAATCTTGGGTTCCATCCCGGGTACTGCAGTGTAACATGTTCCAGCCCTCTGTAGAGAAAGAAGTGGTTCGGGACTATTTAGAAAAGCTGGACGAGCACAAGTCCATGGGGCCGGATGCGCTGCATCCGAGAGTGCTAAAGGAGTTGGTGGATGTGATTGCAGAGCCATTGGCCATTATCTCTGAAAACTCATGGCGATCGGGAGAAGTCCCAGACAACTGGAAAAAGGCTAATGTAGTGGCCATCTTTAAAAAAGGGAAGAAGGAGGATCCTGGGAACTACAGGCCAGTCAGTCTCACCTCACTCTCCGGAAAAATCATGGAGCAGGTCCTCAAGGAATCAATTTTAAAGACTTAGAGGAGAGGAAAATGATCAGGAACAGTCAGCATGGATTCACCAAGGGAAAGTCATGCCTGACTAACCTAATTGCCTTCTATGACGAGATAACTGGCTCCGTGGATGAGGGGAAAGCTTGACTTGTTACTTGACTTTAGCAAAGCTTTTGACACGGTCTCCCACAGTATTCTTGCCAGCAAGTTAAAGAAGTATGGGCTGGATGAATGGACTATAAGGTGGATAGAAAGTTGGCTAGATTGTCGGGCTCAAAGAGTAGTGATCAATGGCTCCATGTCTAGTTGGCAGCCGGTATCAAGTGGAGTACCCCAAGGGTCGGTCCTGGGGCCGGTTTTGTTCAATATTTTCATAAATGATCTGGAGGATGGTGTGGATTGCACCCTCAGCAAGTGTGCAGATGACACTAAACTGGGAGGAGAGGTAGATATGCAGGAGGGTAGGGATATGATACAGAGGGACCTAGACTAATTAGAGGATTGGGCCAAAAGAAATCTGATGAGGTTCAACAAGGACAGAGTCCTGCACTTAGGACAGAAGAATCCCATGCACCGCTACAGACTAGGGACCGAATGGCTCGGCAGCAGTTCTGCAGAAAAGGACCTAGGGGTTACAGTGGACGAGAAACTAGACATGAGTCAACAGTGTGCCCTTGTTGCTAAGAAGGCCAATGGCATTTTGGGATGTACAGGTAGGGGCATTGCCAGCAGATCGAGGGACGTGATCTTTCCCCTCTATTTGACATTGGTGAGGCCTCATCTGGATTACTGTGTCCAGTTTTGGGCCCCACACTACAAAAAGGATGTGGAAAAATTGGAAAACGTCCAGCGGAGGGCAACAAAAATGATTAGGGGTCTGGAACACATGAGTTATGAGGAGAGGCTGAGGGAACTGGGATTGTTTAGTCTGCAGAAGAGAAGAATGAGGGGGGATTTGATAGCTACTTTCAACTACCTGAGAGGTGGTTCCAGAGAGGATGGTTCTAGACTATTCTCAGTGGTAGAAGAGGACAGAACAAGGAGTAATGGTCTCAAGTTGCAGTGGGGGAGGTTTAGGTTGGATATTAGGAAAAACTTTTTTCACTAGGAAGGTGGTGAAACACTGGAATGCGTTACCTAGGGAGGTGGTGGAATCTCCTTCCTTAGAAGTTTTTAAGGTCAGGCTTGACAAAGCCCTGGCTGGGATGATTTAGTTGGGGATTGGCCCTGCTTTGAGCAGGGGGTTGGACTAGATGACCTCCTTAGGTCCCTTCCAACACTGATATTCTATGATTCAAGGGTTCTCAACCTTTTTTTTTCTGAGGCCCCCCCCAACATGCTATAAAAACCTCCATGGCCCACTTGTGCCCAAGAACTGGTTTTCTGCATATAAAAAGCCAGGGCTGTCATTAAGGGGTAGCAAGCAGGGCAATTGCCTGGGGCCCCATGCCACAGGGACCCCCATGAAGCTACATTGCTCAGGTTTCAGCTGCAGCCCCAGGGGTTCCGGTCCTATGCGGTGGGGCTTCGGCTTTCTGCCCTGGGCCCAGCGAGTCTAACGCTGGCCCTGCTTGGCGGTCCCGGACCCATGGTTGAGAACCACTGTTCTAGTGCTCAGACTCTTCTGCATGTTCCCTGTAAGCCTGGCCCCTTCTGCCTTTATCCCCTCTCCCAGTCTCATCTTTTCCTCCCCAGCACCTCATCCAAGTCTCCCCTCCCACGGGGTTTCTCATCTCAGTTCCAGTCTCCTCGCCCATTCGATCCTAAGTCTCCTTCTCTGCTCTCAACTTCCAAGTCCCTGAGATTTTTCAAAGGTTTATAACTTAGCCAAATTTGCAGTTTTTCTAGGCACATCCCTGACACAAAAGCAATCCACCTGCCAAATTCTGAGCCTTGCTCCGGAGGCACTAGAGTTTCTCAATGAAATAGTAGTAAGATTTTTTAAAACCAAAAATATGGGCAAACCGATGTATTTTTCTCGAATCTCATTCTCAGAAATGGCTGAACTATTTTTGCTGAAACTATTTTTTGCTGCATAAACATTCAGCCTGAGGCAGACAGTCAGCACAGGAAATTTCATCCTGAGTGGTTAAAGCTTGCCCAAGTTATAAGCAACTGAAAACTGGGAAATGCAGGCAGGACTACCAGTGCCGCCTATTATAAAAATGGGAATTTTGAGTGCCATCTAGTGCACTACAAGGGAATTACTGCAGAACTACCATCTGGTCTCTGCATGCAAAGACAGGAAAATCCACTGGCATTATTGTTTCAAAATTCTCAGATCAGGCGTGGGAAACTACAGATATGTTTTAAGTTTACACATGTCAAATAGATCATTAATGGAAATAATGAACTGCACAAAATTTGATTATTTTGAATTTCTTAACTTGACAAAACTCACTGCTGCACTGAGAACCACATATGTGGCAACACAAAAACTACTGGAGTTACACAAACACAAGAAAAAGCTGAACCATTTCTTTTAAATGGGTGGAGAGGTGGAGGGAAGGGAGAGACTTGCATCCCTGAACTACCCCGTACATTTTCCTAGATGCTACTTCAATAAACTTGAAAGTAATATAGCCTAGAGGGAGCAATTCTAGTGATGACTGAGAAGGCATTTTCATTCCAATCCTCTATTTTCAAGGGTATATAATTCTGAAAAAATCCTTCTAGCTGAAATTATTCATGCTTCTTAGTCTTTTTCTGAAAAAAGTATGTTCAGCTGTTTGTTTTGTGTGTATGGGGGGGAGGGGGATCCTCTGGAAATTTCTAGATCTAATCCAGACTAGGCAACTACTAAGCAAACAACATTGCCATTACAGCTGGTTGACATTTTTCAAACAAATTTTCCTGTCAGACATGTGGTTTCACTGAAATCAACATTTTCCTACAGGAAAATGTTGATTTTGACACAGGTTTTCAATTTTCCACTTGGAAGAATTGTTTGGAATGGATGTTCAGAAACCTTTTTTTAATTTCACAAATGTTAATTTGAAATGACAAAATTTGTTTCAACAATCTGACTTTAGTTTTTGATAAAAATGTTGTAATTTCCAATCTGAAGCTTTTTGGAATTTTGATTTGTAAACATTGCCATTATTTTGAGTTTGTTCTGCTTCAGAATGGAATGCAATTTCAAAATGTCAACATTTCCCATTAGAGGTACTTGGAAAATGTAGGTTTCCTCTCTTTACTGTGCAATGGCTATTTGGAGCTCAATGTGAAGGAAGTTTGATTATCAAAGTCCTGACTGAATAGATGTTCACATAATAGAAACCACATCACACCTGATCTCTCTGCTGGCTGTCCCTACAGACATATCAAATATTAAATAGGTGTAGAGAATTAATTAACCTCATCCAACAGAAGTAGATTTTTTTCTAGTCAAGTGAGTAGTGGAAAAGTTTTCACTACTACTGCCTGTCCCCAGAGGTAACTTTATTTCCACTAAAATTCACATATTTTAAAGTACTTTTTTTCAAAGGGGCCTCATTAAAACAGAACAGTACAGATAAGGAAGGAAAACAGAACTCTTCTATTCTACAGACCTAGTACTTAGAAGAAGTCTAAGCAAAATAACTTTTTAAACACTACAAACTTGAGAAAACTAAAAATCACTGAAATCTCCTTATTTTTTAAAACCTTACTTCTTACAGATAAATCCGTGGTCGTAAAAACAATAGATTAGCTGTTTGTAAGTGAGATTCATAGATCCAGTTAATGTGATATACAGGATTTTGCAATAAATTTGAGGTACAGGTCTGATTATTTTTAAATGATCAGAAGGCCTGCTTATTTTTCTTTTGTGTTGCTCAGCTTCATTAAATGACAGTGTTGTTTAAGATACATATAGATATATCTTACCTTTTTCTCCAATATTTGCCATGGATACTGCAAAAAAAAAGAAAAGAAAAAAGGAATAAAATAAAAAACATGATTTGCTATCATTTGGAAACAGATAAAGTCCTAAATCAAATATTTCAAACATTAGTTTCCCAACATTCCTTTGATAATAAACAAACATCAAAACTTCAAGTTTAGACACCCTGTATTTTTACACTGAATCATGCTTTTATTAAAAATATGTTTATGGTGTTGATTTTTTGTGATGATTAAATAAATTATCAATGCCACGCCAGAGCTAAGCAGTGGTGCTAGAACAATGTTTATAGTGGGGGCGCTGAGAGCCACTGAACCAAACGGTAAACTCTGTATATAATGGAAACCACTTGAAGCCAGGGGGTGCAGCAGCCCCCCCAGCACTCCTAGTTCCAGCATCTATGGAGCTGAGATTAGAACTCGGATGTTTTTGGCAGACACTCCGTTTCACTAGACCATACTGCCTCTCCCATTAGGCAGAATTTCACATAAAACTGCCAACATTCCAGCACCAAGGCCTTAATCAGTAATCCATAAAATTATGGAGACAACCTTCCGAGAGAACAAACAAGTGACCTAACAAGAAGCAAATTGTTTTTATTCGGAGCGTTATACAACAATACAGAAACTCATTACCGTCACTTGAAAAGGATGGTTCTTTTAAAAGCAGTCACTAGCTTCTTGATAGGAGCACTTGTGGCACCTTAGAGACGAACAAATTTATTAGCGCTAATAAATTTGTTAGTCTCTAAGGTGCCACAAGTACTCCTGTTCTTTTTGCGGATACAGACTAACACGCTGCTACTCTGAAACCTAGCTTCTTGATGTGCAGCTGGAGTGTAATACAGAGCAGATACTACAAAAAAGAATAAAGCCATTCCAGCAACTCCTCTAAAGGTGAAATGTAAAGCAAGACACATTTATGCCATTTACTGCTCGCTTATGATATATTAAAATGGGCTCTACTTGTTCATTTATTTTTTATTCCCTCCTCCCCATTCCAGCTTGCCTTGTTTGTTTTATCGTTGGGAATACCAAGTACTGACTTCCCTTTTTTTGATGAGGACCTTTGCAAGATTTTGGAGGACCAGAAGGATGACACTGCTAAAGACTGCAATCAGAAATGAAACCACCACCCAGGTTAGCTTACAAGGAAAACTTCATGCACAAAGGCCATCTTTACAATCGACTTCTGTTCTTCAAATTTCCTTGCTGTTACTACCACTACTGGAAACACTGTGAACTCAGCACAGATGGTCACCAGCATTTTAATCACTGCACAGAACTGACCAGTTAGGAGCAGGTTTACATGATAAGGCGGTTAAGATATTGGTGCCCTGTCTACACGCCAATGTTACTACCACGAGTGGAGCTCCCTTCCTTTCTAAGGGCTATCTGCTTCAATGGAATCACCTACTGTAGTACCAGATTGACTTACCAACTCAAAGGAAAAAAGGCATAAACAGAGTCCTGCTCAACCTGATACAGAGCAGCAGCAAATTCCATGGCCTTCCACTCAATGCTCCTCCTCTTGGTTCATGCAAGACACAGAAGATACCTAGCCAAAGTATTCCTGTCAATCACAGTTATTGTTTCACACCACAGAGGGAGAGGCAGTTACTCTCGTAGTTGATACAATAAGGATTCTGAAGAGGAGCACCAGCATCTTGAATTGGACTCTCAATTTAACTGGCAGCCAATGTTAAGTGCAGTGTAGCAGTATGATGTGCTCTCACTGGTGGGCATAATTCGCATGTGGAATGCTACGAGCAGCAGCAGTTGCACCTTTTGTTGACCTTCAGGATCAGCCTCCTGTGAAAACTATTGCAATATAGTCTCACCTTAAGGTGATAAAAGCACGGATCACCATGGCTAATCACATCCTCAGTAGAAAGGGTACATTCTCATCAAGTGAAGATGAAAACATTACTGACTACTTGGAAACCCACAGAAGAGTTTAAAAGGACAATAAAATAATGCGGCAACTGAAGAATATATGCAACTTATCAGATATCCACAGACAATCCATCCATTTCTCAGAATGCTGCTCTCTTCCAACCATCACCATCTCTATCTTGTCTATTCTGAACCTTAGCCTGCTGTTTTTCCTCCACATCCCTATTTTAACCAAACATCAGAACGGCAGGGAGACCACAATGCCAGTCCTAGGTAAGAGGACAGCTAGATCTCATCAGCACATTGGTGGCACAGCAATAGGTTCTCAACCTCCTTTATAAGTTAAGCGAGAGGGACTGGAAGATTGAGCTACATAGGACTCCAAAAAAGTAAGCGTTCTTAGTGAAGAGGAGCAACTGCTATCACCACTCAGATCTTTCCCAGAGGAATGCTCAAAGCTACCATAAACACTTCACACAGAAGTAGGCAGAAAGCACTTCATGATTCACAGTATCACAGCTACACAGTTCTGTAGAAGATCTGGACGGAAAATGGTTTTCAGAAAAAGTTTCATCTTGAACCAGGACAAAAAGTCAAGCCTGAAATTTTTCACAAGGGACTTCCAGAAAATTCCATTTTGGGAGAAGCTAGAAAGCTCTTGTGAATTTCACTTTCGACCTGTAAAATTGACAAAAGCCTTCCATCCAGTTAGCAGGGAGGCAGTGTCAGGGCACTCAGCCTCAGCAGCCCTACTGGAAGGTTTTTTTCAATTTCACTTTCTGGCTGCAGGTAGACAATGACATTGGCAAAAGCCTGCCAGGCAGGCTGCCCTCATTTAAGTTTTCCTAACAGAAAAATAAAATTACTTAATAAAATTGGAGTTTTCCCATGGAAAATTCTGATTTTGCAAACAAAGCCATTTTCCAGTGGGAAATAATTCCCAACCAGCTGTATTCGGTAACTACTTAGGCATTATATATTGTTGTAAGACTCCACTTGTGGTTATTTATCACACTTCCTTTTAGATGATCTGTTTAAGATCAAAGTTTCCAGAAGCTATTTACTAACTGCTACTGTCTAGACTCTAGAGGAAACTACCCTTTCATTTCAAAGGGCTTATCTAGACAAAAAAGTTTCACCAGTTTAAACTTGTTGTGATTTTAAACCTATTTAGCTAAACCAGTGCAAAAGACTGTGTGGGCATTCTTATTTTGGTTTAAATAAGGCTTATTTCAGTTTATTTTAAGTCAATTAAGAATTAGGGCTGGTCTACAAAAGCCACCTTGCTTTGACCTAGTTGTGCATGAGACTACACTTAAATTTCTCTCCTACCGACGTTAAGTGCTCTGTTACAGTGACGCAGTAACATCACCTCCTGAGCAGAGTTCAGCCATGGTCAATGTACTGAGGTCGACACAGGGTGAGTGTACACATTATTACTTATGTTGAGTCTAACAGCCTTCCAGCAGCTGTCCCAAAATGCCCAACACTGACCACTCTGCCGAGGGGTCATGGAGACCAGAAGGCCCCTCTCCCCTTTAAGGCCCTACTAATTTTTGAAATGCCAATTCCTGATTGTCCAGAATGGCAAACACAACATGCAGCTCTCCCTTGTTGTGTGTAACTGCCCAGCTGATCATGCCAGCTACATACTCCAGATGCACTCTGGCTTGGAGATACTGGATCTTCTGGGCCTGTGAGAAGAAGAGGCTGAGCAGGCACAGCTATGAAATAGCCATAGAAACATGGTCATCTACGACCAAATAGCATGGGGGATGGAGGAGAAGAAACTGCAGCAAGCATATCAGAAGGCCAAGGAGGCGAACAGTCATTCCAGTGCTGAGTCGCAGACCTGGTGCTTTTACAAAGAGTCACGTGCCATATTTAGCCAAGACCCCCCGACCCCACAGACCACCCTGGATACCTCTGATGGGGGACATGTGACCAGGGGTCCAGCTATGCTGCAAGCCAGGACCTTTTTGAAAGTCCACTGCAGTCCAGTCAGTCCCAGCAGTTGAGCACAAGTAAGCCTGACGCAGGGGCAAGAACCTCAGGTTAAGTCAGTAACTGTATTTCCCATTGCAATGATGTAGTGATGGCACTCCCAACTTCAAAGGACACAGCTATCCACTCTTCAGTAATATACTCGTACTAGCAGAGGTAGCAATACAACAAAGAGAGGTAGCATTATCTTATTTTTCATTCCCCATAGTTAGGACAGGGGGTCCAGGTGGAGCAGGTTGTTTATGTATCCAGGGTTGTCCCTTGAATCCTCCTGAAAGATCTCGATGGAGCTCTCATGGAGGTACTCTGCAATCTTCTGCTGAAGGTTTCTACATATGGCAGCCTCTTCCCCTGCAGTAGGACACTTTCCCTACACCAGTCAGCAATAACTTCAGTAGGCAACACTGCAATACACAGTCTAGCAGCATACAGGCCCGGGTGGGCGCTCTGGGACAGCAGCAGCAGCTGTACTTTCCATGATTGATGCAGAGAGATCAGCTAAAATCACTACCATCTGTGGACAGTGGTGCCAATTTACAGTGCCACTGCCCTATACTTATAATTCCATGCAACTGAGCAATTCCCTCCTCGTTTCCCTCTCCCCTGCAAGCCATACTCACCAGGGCTGGTGCTGTGAGTGGTGCCATACGCAAGCACTCCCAAGTAGAAGTGTCAATAGACATGTCTTGTTTAAAACTTTAGGGGAGCAAGGGAAGGGAGTTCTGAATCTTAACGCTTGCTCTCTGTTGTGACTATATTGACAATGGTACTTGTGTGTGATTTATCTGCAGCTGCTGCCATGGCACCCTTGAGGGGTTCCCCCTCCACACCCACACAACACCTGAGCCAGACAAGGAGGAGAAAGAAGAGGACCTGGGATCACATGTTCAATGAGATCCTGCAAGCCAGTGCTGCATCCGACCTTGAGCAAAAGGCCTAGAGGGTGAACACTGCAGATGGCCTGGAGAAGGAAAGTGCAGACTGGAGAAAGGCTCTGGAGTCCAAGCAGAAAAAGAAGAGGGAGATGCACCAGGACATAATGGGCTTCTCCAGCAGCAAACACAGGCTCTTATGGACCTACAGATTTAACAGTCACAGGCTCTCCTCTCTTT